GTGGCAGAGGAAAACACACAGCAAGCCCACGATGGGGAGGAAGGAAGGGGACACCGCATCAGTGGCCCATGGCACAGCTAGGGCTGTCCCACTCCTGGGGGCTGTTCCCCTCCTTTGGGGAGGTGCTGCAGCCTGGGGGGCTGGTGGGGCTCATCCTGCGGCACAGGTAGCCCCGGTCCATACTCTCCCTCTGCTGGCCCATGGCCTGGTCAATCGTCTCCAAGCGCAGCGCAGGCAGTAACCCCAGGCTTCTGGGGTCAGCTCTGGCCAGGGCGTTGTCTGCAGAGACGCGTCGGGGGCCACCCTGCTCCCGCACAGTCTGGGAGAAGAAGCTGCCCTCGTGGCTGTCAGCTGCCTGCCCTGGCTTCTTGCCTTTGGCTCCATTGCATGCCGGCTCCTCCGTTGTCTGCAGAGACGCGTCGGGGGCCACCCTGCTCCCGCACAGTCTGGGAGAAGAAGCTGCCCTCGTGGCTGTCAGCTGCCTGCCCTGGCTTCTTGCCTTTGGCTCCACTGCATGCCGGCTCCTCCTGGGGCAAGTGGATGGTGGGGATGTCCCCAGGGAGGCCCCGCCGGCTCTGGGGGGAAGGGCTGCGGCTCATACCCCTGTCCCGACTCGACGGCCGCAGGATGAGGCCCTGGAACTTGGCCAGGCTGGGGCTTCGGCTCCGGTGCCGTTTCATCTTGCCTGGGCTGGGGCTGCGGGACTTGGGGGCCAACAGGACAAGCGTGCTGTCGTCCTCCTCTTCAGAACTGCTGCCTGAGCTGTCTGTGGGACTGCTACCCTCCTCCGACCTGGGCAGGGAGATCTGCACCCCTGCATCAGCACTGCTGGCTGATACTCACAGGAAGCTGTGGGGCCCACAGCAGTCAAGCCCCCTTACCACATCCCTACCACTGCCCCCAGCCTCACCCCTTGCCCATGCTGACCTGGAAGGGCTCAGTCACGCCAGCGATGCTGCTGGAGGTGTTGCTGTAGTATCCAAGGATGTACTCGCCCTTCCCCTTGGGCAGTGCCTCCTCTGAGAATATCACCTGCAGCCCAGAGACAGCTGCTGGGCACCAGGGCTGGGCACAGGGGTGCCCCCTCCCACCCCCAGCCCCACAGAGAGCATTTAGCCCCAGCTGAAAGAAGAAACCCCTGCTGTCAGCACAGTGGGCCTGCCCAAGGCTCAGCATGAAGCAATCCAGAGGTGCCCTCCTGTCCTATCAGGAGCATAAAGAAGCCACTGTCCCCCTGCAATGGGTCACATGTGCCCAGTGGGCACACAGCAGGGCTGGCCCCAGCTCACCTGTGCACACAGCTGCTTTTCCAGGCAGCGCTCTCCCTCATCACTCCTGGCCCAAACATATGACACATAGTCCTTAGGGTGCCGAAAGCCCACCTGTGTGCACATACATGGGAGAGCACAGGTGAGAGGCGACACAGGACCATCAGTCCTGTTCAGCACCATCACCCGTGCCCAGCCTTGGCTCTCCTCTCACTCAGTCCTTGCACCCACTCTGCAGTGCCCTTGCCTCCAGCACCCCAGCAGTGCCTGACATCCCTGTGGGGCCACAGAGCCAGAGCAGCAGGAAGAGGTAACTGGTCAAATACTGCTAACTGCCAGGGCCTTCCAAGGGAAGAAAGTGCAGAGCAAAGGTCCACACCCTACACCTGTGTCCACAGGAGTGGGGTAGGCAGAAGGGACCCTGCAAAGCTGCGCAGTGCACCCCACTCCCTCTGGCCCCAGCAGCTCCCAAGCCCCTACCCGGTAAAGTCCTATCCAGTCCCAGGAGCTCCGGTGGAAGCCAGCAGCCATCTTGTACCTGACAATTGCTTGCTCAGGCCTGCTCCATTCGTCAGCAACATAAATCTCAACTGGGGGCTTGTCTGCCTTGGAAGCAAACTGAGAGAAACATGTACATGGTGAGCAAGGGCATGCTAAAGAGATATGCCCCTGATGCCCAAGGCACCTAGCCTAGCACTGGGCCCTCATGCATCCATCACCAGCAGCATGACAGCTGAGCTTGCCAAACAAAAATAAAAAAAATAAAATAAGCCCCACATGCCCTGCATGCACTAGCTGGTCATCTCACCCCTGTGGCTCCTGCCTGTGTGCCTGGTGGCCCTGGACAATGCCCACCTGCACTGCAAAGATGGCAGCCACCGGCTTGTGGTCGCTGAGCGTGTACTCCATGTGGCTGCAGTAGCAGAGCTGGCTCACTGACAGGACACTCCGGCTGGGCTGGCGCCCACCTGTGCCAAGCCCAGCACTGGGAGACTTGATCTTCCAGAGGATGCGGTCAGTCCAAGCAGGTTTTCGCTTCTTGGCACTGCAGGGCACAGAGGGGCATCTCTTGCCTGGCAGAGGCCAGTGGGCTCCACCCCACACTGCCTCCCCCAGCACTACAGCACCCACAGGCAGGGGTTGTGGCTCACCTTGGCACACAGCTCAGTGCAGCTGCAGGGACAGACCTACGCTGGCTCCAGCACGACAGTTGTCATCCTGCCTGTGCCCACCCCAGCACAGCTCCCCCCATCCATCCACACCGGCGTCAGCCCCTGCCTCACTGGCACCAGCACCCACCCTGGCTCAGAACCCTACCACTCCTGCAACCCCTAGTCCTGCTGTCCCCTCCCAGGTCCAGCACATCCTTCAGCCCTACTTTCCTACCTGCTGTCATACTTGTTGGTGCCCACGTCAAACTTGAAGGTGGGTGGGAAGTTCAAGGGACCCTCCTGAAATCCACTGAGGACAGGCCAGGTGCTCTTGGCAATGTTCAGCTGTGAGAAAGAGAGCAGGTGGGGTAGCACACCAGCCGCATGGCCAGACCTCTCTGGAAGCCCCCAAGACCTCTCTGTCCCACACACAGTCACATCCCTGCCCCACTGCTGAAGCCCCACACAGCTCTTGGGGTTTGTCCATTCCATGCAAGCAGCAAGTCTGCAGACCCAATGCCTCCAGCTCTTCCAAGCACAAATGAAGCCTGTGCCCAGCTCCTGCAAAGACCACTTGGGTTGGTGCTACCCCCTCCCCAGAGAGTCAGGGCCCTCTGTGCCCCACAGGCAGCAAGGAGACATGTCCTGCCCCACAGCTGCAGGGGCAGTTTTGGCAAGAGCCAAGTGGCAGGGACGGGTCCAGGCCAATGTTGCATGCTCATCCCTCTCACCTGGTCCTTTTCCCAGAGCTGGCTCAGGATGTTGCTGTCAATGGCATACTTCACAAAGCGGATGTCAAGGCTCTCAATACGGAAGTTGAGGTCCCCAAACCAGAACACGAGGCTGTGGGTGGGAAAGCAATGGGCTGGAAGGGCCAAGGCTATTGAAGCCAGGCAGCACTGCAAGCGGAAAACATCCTCAGCCTGCGGGCAGCTTCCACCTGCAGCATGGGCACTCTCAGGATCATCAGTGCAAGTCAGTGCTCAGTAGACAGCTTGGCCAGCCACAAGCCCTGCCAGGATCCCTCAGGTAGGAGTCAGCACCATTAACAAAGCAGACCTGACTTTCAAAGGCAGAAACTGAGCGTGGAAATTGCCACTGTGAGGCACCCACCAGACTCAGATCATGCAACCAAGACACTGGGGCAAAGCCAGGCCCTCCACCTCACCAGTCCCAAACCCCAAGAACACCAATATATCAGGAACCGCACTAAGCCTGGATGTGCCCAGAGGAGACCAAGGACCCCTCTTAACACCTGCCCCACCGTGCTGGGTGCCCACTGGGCCACAGGACAATTTTGCAGCTCTGCAGGCAAGACCCATCTCCAAGCTGTGCTAGGATTCCAGGGACAGACCCCAGAGGCTATCTGGAGGTGGTCAAGGACAGGGGCTAGCACTAATGCTGTGGCCCAGACTTGGGAGCAAAGCAGTGGGGTACGCACTCATGGTCCAAGATGCCACTGGCTGCACGGCCCTCGAACTGCTGCATGTGCAGTATGGTAGCAAAGTCCTCTTTGCGCTGCTCTGCCTTCTCCAGGTGTGCTGGCAAGTGGCAGTTCAGGAAGCAGACCATGTGGCCGAAGATGGAGAGACGAATGCTCACCCCACCCTTGTTGCCCTGCACCAAAAGGATCCCATGACTCCTCAGGAAGCCAACCCTCTCCCCTGCTCCCACAGGACCACACTCACCCAGTAGCCTCCCAGCCCTGTCCTTGTGCAGTCTGTCTGGATGTCCTGCAGGAAGGGCAGGTGGTAGTATTTGGCAAATACCAGTAGGATCACACCTTGCATCCGCACCGTGCTGACCTGGAGTGGGAGCAGGGGCTGAAGCAGGATGGTAACCACAGCAGAGTCCATGGGGGCAGGGACAGCTTCCTCCACTTCCAGGCCATAGGGGCAGTACCTCTATCCCCTGTATGCCTCCCAGATGATTAACTGCAAGTCTAGCTTAGGGATGTATGCACACCCTCTGGAACTGACAACTGGGATAAGCCCAGCAATGCTAAGGCTTGTGTACACTCTGGGGCAAGTGTCCTGGAAAGCTGAACCTGCACTGGGACCCACAGGCTGCTGCCAAAAGTACAGGTTTGTTCCCATTCATCTCCTTGCCCTGATACAATGCAGCAGGCAACAAGCGTCCCCAAAGGACTACATGGGAAGCCTAAGGTGCAGAAAAGGGAGCAGGGTGGCACAAGCTAGACAGCACACTGATGAGATGCACTGCTAGCTCTCAGGTGGCTCTCTCGCATGCTGCTTGGATGGCTGTGGGCTGTCCCACCACACCCCCTCCCTCCAACCCAGCAGTCCAGCTCTCCCTCCCCATAGGTCACCTGCCTGGCAGGCAGAAAGGGAACACCAGCTGCCCAACCCCTTTGGGACCTCCTTACCAGGATAAAGTGGAAGGGGCTCAGCACATCCATGAAAAGCTCACTCCACTGATCTGTGAAGAGGGCATCCTTCAGGCGCTTGTTTATCTTAGAGTTCACCTCTTGTAGCCTGGGAAGAAAAGGACAGGTCCTTCAGCAACACCGGGAAGGTGTCTGCATCCCAGCTAGCAAGAGCTCCTTGGGAAAGGTGCCAAATCACAGTGCTGGGGAGCAGGGCCAGGTCAGGAAAGGGGGACCATGCATTTAGAGCACAAACCAGCCATATCCCCAATTCAGCAATGATGGGCCATGTGCTAGCAGATGGCATAAGTGACCCTGAACCCACAAAGCCCTGGCCCTTTTTAAAAAAGGAGCAGTTCAGCTGCACAGGGCTGAGCAACAGTCTGACAAAATCCTATCTCTGGGTTCAAGAGGGGCTTAAGAGACATTTCAGCTGCACTGATCTCCACAGAGAAGCCAAGTCTCACCAGTACCACAGCACAAGGTGTCAAGATGCATCCTAGCTCTGAGCAGCAACAAAAAGAAGGTTAATAGTGCTCCTCCCAGCTCAGCAATTAGTGAAGAGAGGGAAGGAGAACATCCGCAGAGATTGGCAGAATCAGGAAATGTCTTGCCCAAAAATATCCAGTGCTTGGGGCACAAAGACACGGGTCAGAAGAAGGACACAGCCAGAGACACCCTGGAGGTGAGGAGCAGCAGGACACCCTGGCCCAGGCAGGACAAAGTCCCAGCAAGTCCCTTGCTGTCAGCTACACCCCCTGCCCCATCCATCCAGGCTCAGTTCTACCTCTGCAGCCCCACCACGCTGGTCCACAAGGCCAAGGGGACCAGGAGACTGGCTGCAACACAGCATCACAACTCCCACAGCTTCAGCCTTACACCACTCCCTGCCTGGGGCAAGGAGCACTTGGCGGAGGCCCTGGGAGCCTTCTGGAGGCAGATCCAGCTCTTCCACCTCATGCCCACAGGCAGAGGCTACTTCTTGCTTCCTGTGGAAAGGCAGTACATCCTTGGTCTTAGCAGGAATCCGCAGACACCACAGCAGACCTCAAGGGACCAGATTTCCCTTAGGCTCCGGCAGAGCTTGCCTCACTAGCCACACCACCGAAGTCTAACCACATTGGCACAGCACTACTCTTGCCAGCAGTTAAGTGTTGCCAGGGGGCACAGAGCCAATCTGGCTGTGAAAGAACAGCAGATTTATGCCCTTGAGGCCTGAATACCATGGGCAAAAGCTGAGATGAGGAAAATGCTTCCAGAGGACCAACAGGGGAGTTAAATGCCTCTACAGACCTGACCCCACAGCTGCCAGGGTCATGTCAAGAGCAGCACTCACCAAGGCCTGGCTCTGCAGAGCACAGGCAGACACGGCCTTTCCGAGGGCTCAAGGCTACTAAGGATTCAAGGGTTTTGGTTTCTTTCAGCTATTCCATTTTCATAGGAGCTGATTCTCTACCTTTTCTGCTATTTTACCACTTGCAATGCAAATCCCTCCCTGCTCACCATTCCCCTGGGAGGCTGGGGCTGCAGCTCTTCTATTTCCCACCCCTCAGGGCTATGGAGATTCCCCAAAAAGAGACATGGCAGGTCATGGGAGGGAGCCCTGCACGTTACTCTCTTACCCAATGGCGATCATATCTGCATCATTTCTCTCTCCTGTGTTGAGGTGCAGCAGGGATGTCACATCATTCGGGGGCATGGCTGTACCCACATTCCACGTGACCACTGTAATGCTTGGGACGACAAAGGAAGAGCAAGCTAACACTGGAGCTCAGGGGTGCTCCCTGTTGCTCCTGTTCAGCCCTCAGCTCCACCAAGGAAGGTCTCAGCCTTGAACAGAGGTGGCCACAGCTGAAGCTTAGTCAGGCACGTACAGCAGGTCCTTAGCTCCCATTTGAGGGAGATGGATCCCTGCCTCTAAATTCCCCCAAAGTCTGCACCTCAGTGTATGGCAAGCCCTGCTGAAGGTCAAGCCCTGGTGAAATTCTAGAAACCAGCATAAAGAGTCTTAATTTCCACCATCGCAGGCTGGCACAGCAGGCAGCCTGCAAGACAGGGTGTCCCAGGAAAACAGCTTCCCCTCCCTCCCTTCCCCAGGAATCACACTTTCTGTCAGATCCTGGGGAAAAGGATCTGGATCTCAGCCCCCACAGCCTGCCCCAGAGCAGGACCAGCCCCACGGGCCAGGGCATCGCATGACAGCAGCGCGGCAAGCCACGCAGCAGTGTCCTTCACCAGCACAGAGCTATCATCAGTCACAACACATTAATGTCGCTACGCAGCATACGCCAGCGGCCCGCAGGCTCTTTCGGCATCACTAGGACGAGTCACAGGGGACACGTTTCAGCAGTGCCACCTCATCGCCAGGAACCAGAGACAGCAGGGGCAGACGGCATCCGCTCTACAGCCTGTGCCTCCCACATGCCCCAGCAGCCCATAGCGCCGCCCGCGCAGGCAGCCGGCA